ACGATGCCCGACTTCACCAAACCATTCATCGTTGAAACCGATATGTCGGGTCAGGGGCTCGGTGCCGTTTTAATGCAAGAAGATGACCTATCGCTTTCATGAGTCCAGCTTTGGGAACTCAAAAGCAAGTGTTTTCCGCTTATGCCAAGGAAATGATGGCCGTCATTGTTGCAGTTCAACTATGGAGACCCTACTTACTTGGTCGCAAATTATATATTCACACCGACCAACGTAGCTTGCGTTTCCTGTTGGAGCAAAGGATCACGAATCCGGAACAAAAAAAATGGGTAACAAAATTATTGGGTTATGATTACGAAATCATGTACAAGCATGGAAAGGAAAATCAAGCTGCGGATGCTCTATTCCGCAAGCCTTTGATCTCTGGTAAAACCGACAAGCCCACTATGGAGAAATGACGTGCGCATGCACCAACTCAACCTCCCTTGGCCCACAAATTCGTGGCCCACCTCTCACCTGAAGACAAGCAAGATCCCAATTTAGAAAACCCACTAGAATGCTGCAGCTCCCCAGCTGTACTTCACCAACTCACGACTCTTCTTTCCGATGAATATGCCGCGGGAACTCTGGTGGGTCAGGATCAGTGAGGGGAAGATCAGGAGTCTCGGCACAATTATGCCGAGGATATGCTTCACGGGATCTCCTACCCCTTCACAACTCTTGGGGACTCTTTAAAACAAGCTTCTGCCAACGATCCCTACCTACAAACTTTCAAAGAAAAAGCGAGATCCCCTACTCCTGGCCACTTCTCGGTGAAAGGTGACATGGCCCTGTAAGATGAGGGACTTTTTCTCCCCCCAGATTCCCCTCTCATCAACCAGCTACTGCAGGAGTATCACTCCACACCCACCGGCGGTCATTCAGGAGTACTGCGCACCTACAAGAGGCTGGCATCTCAATTCTTTTGGCCCGACATGCTGGAGACTATCAAACGATTCGTTGTCGGCTGCGATACCTGCCAACGAGCGAAGTCTCAATTGCTAGCACCAGCAGGTCTACTTCAGCCGCTACCAATCCTGACTCTCATATGGGAAGAGCTCTCGATGGACTTCATCGACGGGTTACCATCATCGGCTGGGAAGACTGTGATCTTCATGGCGGTGGAACGGCTAACCAAGGCCGCCCATTTCATGGGACTCTCACATCCATTACTGCAAAAACAGTGGCTGATGCTTTTGTTAAAGACGTGGTCAAACTCCATGCCGTCCCTCGTTCAATCGTAAGTGATCGCGACCCCGTTTTCGTTAGTCATTTTTGGCGTGAACTATTTCACCTGTTAGGAACATCACTGCCTATGTCGTCATCCTATCATCCCCAAACCGACGGCCAAACAGAGGTTGTCAACCGCAGCCCTGAGCAATATCTGAGATGCTTCACGCATCATCAACCACGATGTTAGATGACGTTTCTTTCTTGGGCGGAATACTGGTACAATACCACATACCATCGTTCAATCGGCATGACACCATTCCAAGTTGTCTATGGGCGTGTGCCACCGGCTATTCCTTTTTACCAAAAGGATGGCACTGCAGTTCATGAAGTGGATCAGGCATTGCTGGAAAGGAACGAGATTCTTATGGAGATCAAAATTAATTTGCACAATGCCCAATCAAGGATGAAGCAACAAGCTAACGCCAGTCGAAGAGACGAGAATTTTGAAGTAGGCGACAAAGTGTTCCTGCGCCTCCATCCATATTGCCAACATTCAGTCTATCGCCGTGCCTCCCATAAACTGGCTGCCTGATTCCATGGCCCCTACCTCATCACCGAGCGCGTCGGACCAGTCGCCTATCGCTTAGGCCTTCCAACCGGCTCTCGAGTGCACCCGATCTTCCATGTTTCCTACTCCGCCGCTGCTCTACGGCAGAAACTCCATTGAACTCTACCATCCCTCCCATTGTGGATGATGGTGCCCTTGAACTCCTTCCTGAGACAATCCTTGACACCCGCTGGGTTCGTCAAGGCAACAGGGTCATTGAAGAATCCTTGGTGAAATGGCGTGCTCTGCCTGCCGAGGATGCCAAATGGGAGCTGACTTCCGACTTGTTCGAGCGATTCGATGATTTTGGCCTTGGGGACAAGACCATACTTCCTGGGGCGAGCAATGATGAGCCCATGAAGGCTCGTGAGAGGAAGAAACCAAGGGAGCCCAACCATGCGGGCCATGCAAAGAAAGATGGGCCACCACGTGGCTGAAGGGAGGAAAGCCCATCTATGAGGAACCACTGTTGCTTACGCCGGAATTTGTTTATTTGTTTTGATATCATTCGGATTTGATTGTTGCTGGTACAATTTGAGTTGTTTTCATATAAGTTAGGTGTAAGGAGATTATCTCTCCAGATTGTATGAGATTTGGAATGATCCTATGTGAATCCCAATCTTTCCTTCGGTTTTACAACACTCTATATAAGGAGGCTGAATTGGAATAAGAAAGCAGCAGGGATTTAAGAAAAAGAGTAGAGCCAAAGCTGGCTAGCTATCACCGCAAACCCAACCAAATAACCCCTTTGATTTTACACTTTCAACAGTCTTGGCCCGGCATGAGCCAGGTCTAGCTACCATCTTCATTGGGCTTTTCCCGCCATGTAACACCAGTATGAAATCTCCACGCCTCATGTTTTCAATATATTCCAGAAGATTGTCCACTCATATAGAGTAGGTCTCGCAATCGGTTCGATTCGGTTGTAATTGGAATCTTTTGCCGATTCTCGGTGTACCATTCAATAGTTTGTACTTACCATCATCTGCAACTTTTATACTAGCCGGTTAACCATAATCAAATAGTCAGTTCTCAACTATTTTGTCAGTTAACCGGATAATAGTTAAGCAAGTGATTCGACAAGGTTATACAAAAATAACTAATCGGTATCCTAACCAACAGAAGACCTCCTCCTTTTTTCAATTTTGCATATTTGTAGTTTTTTTCCTCCGGATGTGATCTTTTTTTTTCATTTGTTGTCATTCCATAAAAATTAATTTAGCATAAATATCAATTAATAATCAACTCAATCCAATACAAGTACACAATAATATCATTATACCGTCAAATTTGATTAAAGAGACAGACAAGAATAAGAGACCCAACAATAATTACTTACCTCATAAACCCCACCTAATTACATGGAAGGTTAAATGTTACTGATTGAGGTTGAGCTATTGTGCGCAAGTTCAGCTTTATATTGTGATCCTTCTACAATCCTTTCTTCAAATTATTCTCATATGAAGCTAAGTCACTATTACCACTAGAGTCGGTAAGGAATCTTGTAGGCCTTCAAACGTCACATTACTTTCATCCCATGCATGCAGCTCATTGATGCCTATAACTTTCGATCCTAACTACGAGGATGGACGTAATCGATTAATTGTTTTGCCATTGGTTACTAACAGTTTAACCGTCAATTGGTAATTAGCTAAATTTGACTATCAAAACTGACCATTTACTATTTAATCAATTATGAGTGTAACCATTACCACCAATACTGGTTTGTTACAAATTACACGGTTGACAGGATAACCATTTACAGGCTAACATGATAATCGCTAGCAAGATAGCCGCTAGAGGATAATCATTTATCGTATTCGTATAATTAACGAGTTATTGATAAACCTCTTGAGTATGAAAATAGGGATACTTGATTTGTTTGTCCTATATTTGCTAAATGTTTATGAAATTATTATGGCAAGTAAGTCTAGTAAGTATAGATTAAAAAAGGGTTAATACCTTATTTTGGCCCGAACTATGACAATATAATCAATTTTGGCCCGTGGTTTCAGAAATTAACATCCTGACCTCAATTATGCAGCATATAGACACAATTGGCCCGACACATAGTTTGACCGTCAATTTGGACGGTCAACTCCGTTGACCGTTAGTCAACATGCCATGTCAATGCCTAGTAAGCCCAAAAATCATTAAAAAAATTTAAATTCAATTTATTTTCCTAATTCCTATTATTTATCATTTTCCAATTAACCAAAATATAAAATTATAAAAATATAAATAATTTTTTTGTGATATATGAAAATGATAAATTTTATAAATTAACCAAAAATTTTTAAAACTTCCCACAACAATATAATTTATATCATAATTTTTAAATTTATAAAATTTAATTTGATAATTTTTGGTTAATTTATAAAATTTATCATTTTCAAATATAAAAAAAAGTATTTTATATTTTTAAAATTTATTTTTGGTTAATTTGATAATAAATAAGAAAAATTAGAAAAAAAATTTTGAAATTTGCATTTTTTTAATGATTTTTAGGCTGACTAGACAATGACATGGCGTGTTGACTAACGGTCAACGAAGTTGACCGTCCAAATTGACGGTCAAACTATGTGTCGGGCTAATTGAGTCTATATGCTGCATAGTTGAGACCAGGATGTTAATTTCTGAAACCACGGGCCAAAGTTGATTATATGATCATAGTTCGGGCCAAAATAAGGTATTAACCCATTAAAAAATTGATTGCCTATATTGCTATCACCAATAAATTTAACATGTTTTGTGCCGCAAGTGTTGGTCGAGTTACTCTACAGTGAGTTTGTGTGGGCTTACAAAGGCTATCTGATATGAACCCGTGCTCAAAACTCTTGACTCATTAATCAAAAGGGTAACTATCAAGTGATGCATGTCATAGATTGGACAAAACTACTTACAAATCTAGTTGTAGATGGCAACATTACCAACTTTGATGGCCATGTTCTAAACATTCTCTGGGTTGAGGTACCATTGAGACTTTTGTGTTCCCTGGAAAGCTAAATAGATTTACAACAATTGATCCATCATCTTATCTGTCAGGGAAACAAGTATCTTGTAGTTGATATGGGATACAAGTATCAACAAAGAGTTCCATTTGTTTTCCTGAATTGGTCTAGTTTCAGTTTCTTCAAAATCTTGAGTATGATGTGAACTCAATGGTTTCTTTACAGAACAGAACATACAAGGAAGAAGAAGAAAGAGTAGTTCACAACATAGAATCAGCAGCTTAGTTTAGCACTTGGGTTCAATAACACATGACCGCTGTAGTTTGTTCCTCGTTTTGTATATTCAGTCTCTGCTTCACAGTCATCTTGTAATGGTGGATAGATATGTTGGTAGATGATCAGGAGAAAACTGCGTTCTGCACAAAAATTACATTTCCACAAGCTTTCGACGAGCATCAACTTCTCCATTTATCTTTATACATCATGATTTGGAGGGAACAGAGTAAAGAATGTTGATGCTTGGGGGAGAACTGAAGTACTAGATGGTGCACTTGATTAACATTAGCTTTCTGATTATTTTTTGCCACCAGAATGAATGATAATTGGAGTGTTTTATCTTCTTTTACCAATTTCTCGACGAAGGTCTGTTAATAGCTCGAGTTTCCAACTCCCCGCTACTGGAGTATTCCCCTGTGGAATTGGTTGTATGTGCTCCATAAGACATGTCTCTTGTGGAGAAATCCCCGGTGCTGTAACCAAACTCCCCACTGTCGTCTGAACCAAGTGCCATCCTCCTAAACTTCATTATCTCTTCGTTGTACTGGCCGGAGTTATATATCGTGCTTTGTCCATACTTCATCCCATTGGTGAGGTCTCCTATTTCCTCGTTGTCTAAAGCTCTCACCACCTGCACCATTCTTGGCCTCTTGGGAGCTGAGTGGCGAATACATGCAGCTGCAGTCTCGATCATCCTCAACATTTCTGCTTCCACGTACCGCTTCTCTAGTCGAGGATCAACTAGTTCGCCAAGATCTCCTGTCTCTATCGTGTGTATCAAGTGTGGACGAGCCTGATCATCCACCATACCAATTATTGCCAACACATAAATCATTGATGCACAGACATGACAAGAGAAACAAAACAAAATAATGAAAATTTTGCAATTACCCATTCAACCAAGCTTTCATCACCAAGGGGACGAGTTGAATCCACAGGCTTCCTCCCAGTTATTAGCTCTAGAAGCACAACCCCGAATGAATACACATCCGATCTATCAGTTAGCTTCCCACTTTGAGCATACTCTGGAGCCAGGTACCTTCAAAGAAACACCACTAGTTGTTGTTAGTTCAAAACTTTTATTAATTAGAAGACGATACATGGTTAAGAGACTACAACTTTAACTACAGGGATTACCAAAACTCACCCAAATGTTCCCATCACACGAGTTGACACATGGGTCTGAGTTGTATCATTTAGTCTGGCTAGGCCAAAATCTGCAACCTGGAAATTTTTAAAACTTTTATTGGAGAGAAATTAGCTAGCTATGGAGGTATCTAGTGAGGAACTCTTATGAAAGCAAGGAAAGAAATTAGCTAGCATTTGGTAAGAGTTAACTTGCCTGTGCCTCAAAATCACTACCCAACAAAATGTTTGCTGACTTGATGTCTCTATGAATGATTTTGGGGTTGCCTGCACAAAGAAAGAGAGAAAAATTAATGTTCTTTCATAAAATCAAAATCAAACCAATGGAATATTTCAACGTACGTACAATCTTCATGCAAGTAAGCCAATCCCTTGGCTGCTCCTATGGCAATTTTCAGTCTTTGAGACCAATCCAATCCTGGCCCTTTTGCTGTTGCACACAACAATGAATAACATTACAAACTCTCATTTACCTAGCTTGTTTCCATAGATGACGAGTGAAAGAACATTGATGAATTACCATGCAAGTGATACTCAAGGGTATTATTTGGGAGGAACTCGTAAATGAGCAGCCTTTGCGTATCTGACATGCTGTAACCAACCAAAGATACAAGGTGGCGATGGTGGACTCGACTAATGATCTCAACCTCGGCCTTGAATTCTCGATCTCCTTGTCCACTCCCTGCTTTTAGCTGCTTCACGGCCACCATTTTCCCATCAGGCTGCCACCCTTTGAATACGCATCCGAATCCACCTTCCCCTATTATGTTCTCACGAGCAAATCCACGCGTCATTTCCATCACCTCTTCATAGCTGAAGAAGGACTTCCCTCCTCCAATAAGCCCAGAATCTGGCCCGGAGCTCATTCCTCTCTGGCTTCCCCCGTTCCCAGACGCCCCTGAATGTTGTTGTGACCCATAAGAGTTATTTTGGCTAGAGTAACCCATTGAATTTGGAGCACCTCCTTGTCCGTAGTAGTATGGGTCTGTCCGAGTACATAGTTGCTTATCTTAGAACATAAACATACTAAAAGAGAAAATTTGAATTGAAATGAATCGAAGGTGTCAATTGCTGGCTAGTTGTTACCCGATTGTTGCATCGAAGAGAAATTATTGGGGGGAGTCATGTAAGGAGGAGCATAAGGAGGGCCATGGTGTCTCTTATTCTTCTTCCGAGTAACGACGATGACTGCTATCAATGCAATAAGTATTACGCTCACCACCACTGTGCTTGCAACAATTATAGCCGTCGTGGCCGAATTCCCATGTTCGTGCCCATAACCTGCGTTCCCTGAATTTCCCACTTCTTTTGAATTGGAAGCCGAATCAAGCGAACCAGCTTGGGTTGATGAAGAGGAACGCATATTTCCGTGAGTTGAAGGGCCATTTTCGGAGCCATACTGACCTGATGGGGACTCAATTGTTGGGGGAGGATGGAACCCTGCGGAATTTAGTGGTGATGGAGGTGTCCCCGGTGGTGATGGTACAGTTGTTTGTGTCCTCGGAGCAGGTGGAGAGCCATCGTTGGAAGGTGTCACTGGACTTGGGTTTTCCTTTGATTGTGGAGGTGGCGATTTCTCACTGGTTTGTGGATATTTCTGACTAGTTGACGGCGGAGGCGACTGGTTTCCTGAGTTGGAAATTGGCGGAGGAGGAGAAAGGGTTGGAGAATTAGACCCGGATTTTTGTGGAGGGGGAGGCGATTTTGCCGACGGTGATTTTGATGACGAAGATGATGGTTGCGGAGGGGGTGGTGATGCTGGTGGTGTTTCGGAGTTATCCGGAGCCTCCGCAGATCCTTGATTATTGCCAGAATTTGATCCAGGTGGTGGCGGTGAAGTGTTGCTAGTTTTGTTACTATTTTTATTATTGTTGCCGTTATTGTTTGTGTTATTGGGAGGAGAGGCATCCGAACCCGAATCGGATCCTTCATCACTAGAAGATGACGTGGAGCCATCAGCTGGCGGAGGAGGGGAAACAGTGGTAGTTTCTGAACCATCATCTGTGGAATTATCCGCCTTGACAACCACTGAGAAATATCGTTTGAAACCCGGCATCTTCACCGAGTTTGACAATGTATATACTCGTTGAGTACTCGTCGTGCTATTCCTAAATAGCTCTTTTCTCGTTGCAGCTATGGTTGTCTTCTATTCTCTTTTTGCCCCCAAAACCCACTTCTTTTTCGGGAGCAAATTATCAAACATGTAACATGCAATTATCTCTTAATTTTCATTCATCGACTTCATCATTCCTTACAAAAAACAAAGAATGCACAGTCGGCAATTTCTCAACCACAACAGAAGAGATGGCAGAAAACATAAGGAAGGAAGAAATTTTTTGTTGTGGGTTTCTGTCAATGGTGGTGATGAAGTTTGTTTCTTGTTGTTTCATTCCCTCCACCACCCTCTCTATGTTTCTTTCTATTGCCTCTTTTCTTCATTTTTTTTCTTCTCCGTTTCAGTTTTTTGTTTGTTAATGATTTGCTCATTCATGGGTTCCCATCCACAACTATGATTTGGAGGATGTCACGATTTCCTAACCGCCGGCTCTTTTACTCTCAATCTTTCATGAATTTTCTATTACAGTCTCTCTCTCCTGGTTTCTCGGGTTACCGCGCAAATTTAAAATGGGTTAAGCCAATTGGTTGCTCTCATGATTTGGGCACAGTTCCTTGGCACCTTACCAAAGGTTTCAAGTATTTGCAGCCTAGCACCTTAATTTTGGCCTATAAAACAACGAGTTAACTATTTTAGAGTGATGTCATTTTATTTATATTTTACACAAAAAAAATGTTTGATATTGACCTCGAGATTCGAACCTAAGATGTTCTTATTTGCACATTACGACTTGGCCAACCCTTGGGGTTCACACTAAAATATTTTATTATAATAGGTAGTCACTAATTTTACAATTTCATTTCAATACTGGTCACTCTTTGTCTCGTTCTATTAAAAATCTTATGTGGCAGTCAATAAGCTTAATTTGATCGTCAAGTTTAAGACATGACAATTACAAAATATGAAACTTAATTATTTTTAATTACTGCCTAATCTCCAAAAAGTAAAATTCAACAAAAAAATAATGGGAGACACAATATTAATGTCCAGATCATGACATTGGGGACCATTATGGGGGGAGAGTAGGATACGGGAGGAAAGAAATCAGGTAAGTGTGAGGGGTTCTATAGATGATTCAGTAGTAGTTTAAAATGATTAACCATCGACCACTAGTACTTTCCCTATAATATTCGGTCTGATTTTGTTGCTCCTTGCCAACAACACTAATTTTTATTTTGTTTTGGGCATCAATTTAGGGTCTCTGAAAATAACTTTTGTGTTTACCACGAAAACTCATTACGATCAAGGACTTAAATTCACGATTTTGATCCAGAAACCTGAAAAATGTCCCCCATCCAATAACAGTCGAAGGACCCTACGTTATATACTAGTTCCAATATATAAGAGTGGCCTTGACCTACCAACACTTCTCAAGAAATGAATGAGTGACAGGGACCCCGACCTAAGTCGTAGGATTCACTGAATCTGTATAAGGCTTCATCCTACCTATGTAAAGATGGTTTGTGTGCCTCTTTGGAGGACTTGCTATGAAATTTTAGGAGATTCTCACCGCTCCTACAATGGTTTTTATAATCTGGTCGCATCCCTCATAATGAACCTTATATATAAAGGAACTTTGATCGCCAAGGATCTTAAAAATTGTAGAGGGCTTCTCTCTATCTCTGAAGGGAATTTTTCGCCTGGCTATCCCATCTAGGATGACAATTACTGGACATGATTGGATGAAGATGAAAGAGATTCACGCCACCTTAAAAATGAGAACCTGGTGAATGATGAAGGGATTCACACTACCTAGTTGAAGAATTTGCTGAGATGACAAAGAATTTCATCCCGGCTCATAAGAGGATTTTATGCCTACTCGGAAGAACTGCTAACAACGCCCTCTGAATCATAGCTAAGGCCTAGGAGACAAGACTTTGGTTGAGGGGTATGAGACCTCACCCTATCTCTTATGGCGATTTAGATAGTGGGGAGTCCATCATTCAAACTAGGAGGCTCTCAATCCTAACAAATTGTCGAGATGCAGTTTTAACCTCAGGGTGGTTGAGAAAGACTCGTCTTGTAAGTGAGGGAGAAAATTATGTCTTTGCTCTCATCATCATGAAAAGGCTCAGGATTTCCTTGTCATCACAAGAGATCCCCAATGGGAAAGTACTCTTGTGAGTTTTCAAAATGTAGAGCGAAGTCTATTTAACCTCCAAAAATGTGAGAACTTATTTCGTGTTTCAAAGGAGGGGGGAGGCTCCCTATTTAGAAAAATCTTGGGAGTCCTTCTCCCTTGATTTTTCTCCTTTGTACACAAATAAGGGTTAGGTCTATTGGTATTACCACTGATCTTCAACCTAAAGGTCTCAAGTTCAAATCTCTTTAAGTAGCACTTAACATAAAAAAAAGGGTTAATATATTTGCCTGACCCGAACTTTTCCCATATTTAACATTCTGGCCAATTCTTTTGGTATTTAACATTTTGGCCCCAACTAACCCTACACTTTACTAATTTGGCCAAACCCGAGAGTTGACCGTTAGTTTTGACGGTCAAGTTCATTGACTAATGGTCAACTCGCCACGTCACTGCCCAGTAAGCATTAATAAACTTAAAAAAATTCTAAATTCCATATAACCCCGACCAAAATCCCATACGTCCAGACCGCTGTCGTTTGCACCAAGGCCTCCGGTTATCAGCTCAAGACCCAGAGGTTATGCCTTTCTCTGATAGCAACAATGCTCCTGCATCACTCGAGTTGGCCGACAGCTAGAAGCTTGTGGACTGTAACAATGGCGGGTGAGGGGAGACTTGGAGGGTGGTGGAAACCTGGGATAAAGGAACAAAAAGCATGTAAATGGGTTATCGGCTTGGAATTCAGTGGGGTTGGGTGGGATTATAGGGCTGCAAATGAGCCGAGCTGCTGGCGAGCGGGTCGACGTTCGACTCGAGAAAAGCTTGTTCGAAACTCGGCTCGTTAATAAACGAGCCGAACATGAGCTAACCTTTGTTCAGCTCGTGAAGCTCGCGAGCTAGCTCGACTCGGTAGCTTGTTGAGCTAAACTCGTGAGCTGACTCGTTTAGAGCTCATGATATGTCTTAACATGTGGTTAGAGAGCCAACTCGATTACCAACTTATGGACGAATTAATCTATATCTTATGATTTTAATTCATATGGTTGTTAAATTATATATTTCACCATATATAAAGTTTAACACATTGAGTATGTGAGCAAATATATCTTATTTTCTACTTTGAAAAGAAATTATGCATCATAGATTGCTTCGATACTATGAAATAACATGATTTGAAGTAGTTAAAATTTATTAACTAAATGATATATGATACCAAAAAAATATAATATGAGATTAGCTACCAAAATAAATCATATGTATCATGATATACAAAATGAAGTACCAAATAAAAGTCAAGATTTTAATAAACAAGCTAGCTCGAGCTCGACTCGACTCGGCTCGTTAATAAATGAGCTGAGCTCGAGCTCGACTTGTTTATTAACGAGCCGAGCTCAACCTGGGTAAAACTCGACTCGACTCATTTGCAGCCCTATGTGGGAAGGAGGAGGGCGGAGGGGTGGTAAAATGACCTTAGTTCGTACATGGTGATTTCTGTCTTTTCTTCCCCTGAAAATTTTCAGTTGGAGGGGTTTCAACTGTTTGTAGAAGGAGTTGAGGAAACACCAAAGTGTGGGATTTTGGTTGGGATTATGATGATTGAGGGTTTGAGGGGTGGAAGAATTTAGGACGACCGCCACTCCGTTTCTTAATTTTTTTAAATTCAAATTTAATTAAAATCATTTTAGGGATTATGTAGAATATATGAATTTTTTAAGTTTATTTATAGGGGTGGGCACGTGGGTGGTTTTTTCGCGGATAGATATCGATCCACCCGCAAATAACCTGACCCGTACGTAGTGCGTGGTTGGTGTGGGTGGATTGCGGATTGATATGTATCCAACCCGCACTTATGTGGGTGGGTGGTGGGTGGATTATGGGTCACCCATATGACTCGCATCCTTCCTATTTTTACATAAAAAAATGTTGTTTCTTATAGTATCGAATATTCATCATATTTTCGAACTACACTACAGTCTAACTATATACTTCAAAATGTGGAGAATAAAGAATGGTTTTAACTAATATTATTGGTTTTTGTGTTGTGCGTTATCCATTAGATATTGGATATTGGATGCAAATTATTATTAATATCCATTAAATATTGGGATACAAACTATAAATTTTTAACTTTATCAAAATCACCTATTATTGATACATTCTTACTAATTTGCTATGAACTTATTATAAATGTTAGTCAACTTTCTTAATGGCTAGTTGGAGAAGTGTTTTTACGGGTTGACCCACGATCCAACCACACTCATCCGCCACCCACCCAATCCAACCCACAGAAGTATGTGGGTGGATTGCGGGTCACAATTATTCCAACTCGCTAGTAAGCGGGTGGGTCAATTTGAGACCGAAATCCACCTAATCCGCCCATTGCCCACCCCTAGTTATTTATGCCGATTGGCAAGTGATGTGGCAGGTTGGTTGTTAGTCAACTGTATTGACCGTCAAAACTAACGGTTAATTCTCAGCTTTGGCCAAATCAGTAAAGTGTAGGGTTAGTTCGGGCCGCGATGTTAAATACCAAAAAGATTGGACAGGATGTTAAATAAGGGGAAAATTCGGGCCAACCAAATATATTGAACCTTAAAAACATATATTACCCTTTTAAAAAAAGTTTTGCTTCCTTTGGTTGGAAACTAAAGCTAACAATTGCATGCTTCTCCCATAAACCAAAATTGATGAGTAAGAAAGGAGTGACCAAAAGAGGAAATAGTTTCTCACATACTCACAAATGTTTATGTGTCATAAATCATAACTAAGGTTCAAAAATGCCCAAGGCGTTGAGGTCTTGCACCTAGTGCCTAACTCTCCTAGGCGTCACCTAAACATGTCTGGGCATTGGAAGAAAAAGTTGTAGATAGTAGTTAGT